TACAAACATACTTTTTTGAAATTTTACCTAGTCCTATATCATCAAAATTATGTGTCCAATAAATTGTTGGGAAAATATTAGGGGAAGAGTAAACTCGTCGACGGCACTGTGACAGCAATTTTTATTGACTAAGCCAAGTGTGAGTTTTCTCGTTCACTTTTTGCATGGGTTTGTATATGTTTAAAGGCCGTCCCCACTTCTGTCGCTCAAGTGTACTACTGGCAACATAACACAACATGCGTCATTTGTACATTACGTCCCAAGTTGTAGAGAGCGTTTGGTGCGTGCAGTGATAATCATAGGATTTAATGTAGACAATTTGTAACATGGTAGTAAAAACATTAATTTTTTGCCTGTGAGAGACCGTGTCAATCAATGTTATATCGTGGGTGTTAGAGAGGGTAGCTGGGTGTTGGGGAGGGGGGTATGTTAATAAGGATTAAGTGGGAGTGTACCTTGCAAAAAGAGGTGAAATGCAGTGATTTTAAACTACTTGGGTATTTCTTTTATGCTAAGTGAATTTTCAGTGGGAGAACGCAATCTCCCAACATGCTGTGGATATGCCGCTATCATAAATTTTGGGAGATTCGCATGAAACGGTGGAGACTTGGGACTTCGTGGGTTTAAATTAAAATATGAATTGTTTATTGTAAATGTTGCACAAATATTCATTACCTTAAGTTGTTACTCTGTTAATTGAAAAAAAAAACATTATTAAGTTAGAGAATATTTTTGTTGCTGATTTACAGATGCATTTAAACATTATTTTATATTTCCTAGTCTCTAAATATAGAAATTTATTATTATGACAAACCTTATTTTATATTAAAATTTTTATCAGATTCACAGAGGAAGCTGATAACTTATTGGTCATTGTAAATGAGTTTTCACACCAGAAAAATCTTAATGAATAAGTATGTTTTGCGATATGCAACTTCTAATGACAAGTGTTTCTGTTTATCTTTCCAGATTTCTATTAATTTTCTTGTGCCTTCTGCTTAGTATATTGGCAACCATAGGGACCATGAGGGAACTGTGTAATCAGCTGGTTTATGCAATGGTGAGTTAGCATTTGCAATTTATTCATTATTTCATCAGTGGCGTATTCAGGGGGTGCGCGGTGGGGGGATGCTCATGCCCCTCCAAAAATTACTCGCTTGGCCTCCAAAAAATCATGGTCAAGTAGTTAAAAATCACCTAAAATCACCTTATTTTGCAAATTAGCACCCCTCAACTGATCATTGAGGCCCCCTTCTCCATCAGCACCCTATTTCAAGACTTCTCGATATGCCACTGTTTTTCATGGCAACTTAGAATAGTAGTTTTTAACAGTCTGAAAGCATTGTCAATTATGAAATTGAATAACGAATCAGTCCACTGCTCGTAATATTGTTATCAGTGCTGTCTTCAAAAATTTGCCAACAATGGTTTTAAACCAAGGGGCCGACTAGAGCCTTGGTCAGGGCCCCGGAATAAAGTCCCTGTTAACGTACATAAGCATGACCATAATATAAGGGATTACCAATCTTAATGTTATTTGGATAGGAAAGTTATTATTTTGGTCCGACAGATCTTGTCGTGCCATCGGACAGGCCAGGCCTGTTCACGGGGGAAATTGGTTCCCCACACTAGTGCCACCACTTGTCATGACAATGGTTGAATTTTTTGTTTTTATTCTATCCCAATTTTTAATCGTGCCTGATGTATTTATTTGTATTGAACCATATTTTATTGAAGAATTTTATTAATCTAACTACAGGTCTCCCTCCTTGGTCTCTAATTAGAATAATAAAGATAAAGACATTTGTTAATTTGGGACCACAGAAAAGTGGTCTTTAATTGGAGGGGGTCTTTAATTAGAGGGAGAATTTGAAGTTCATCATTCTGTCACTCTGACAGTTATACTGTCGCACTAAAAAATATGATGAAAATTGAAAGCCCCATAGGTATCTGTATAGCATGCTACTCGTGTTATTTACTGAACTTATCAAATACATTTATGCCATGCAACTTTCAGTGTTCAGTGAAGTACCCTGAATATTGAGGCTGCCCTTAAGCCACTCGCTGGTATGCTCGAGATCTTCATGTACATTGATAGATAGCGCTAGGCTATCAAACTTAACAAATACATAATGGAACAAAATGCTTTAAAATTAAGTTGGGGTCATAGCTTCATTAATTGCAGCAGAATTTAATAAAACTAATCAAAATATTAGGTTCATGGGTGCTTGCAATTTTTAAAATGTGCGATGATAAAGCTCTAATCATTTTATCACCTCTTTACCTCCGCTAAGGGTTGTATTCACTGCTGTCTGTCTGTTGACACAAAAACCAATGAATGAATCATCATAAAATTTAGTGGAGTGGTACATAATAATCGAAGAAAGACACCATTCAATTTTTGAAAGAAAAGGTTAAAGTTCATGGCCACGAAAGTAATTTATTTACTGTTGAGCATAAAAAAAAGTAATGGAATCGCCCCTCGTATTCAGGCAGCACTCTAGAAATTAATGTACATGAATACTACGGGCAATTCCTTTATTTTCTTGAGGGTATGCTGCAGTTTCGCCCATTACACATAGCCTGCTTATTGTTGGTATTCAGGCACAGTGTGGAGATATGGACTCAATAGTGTGACTGCTCTAGTTTCCATAAGTTTTAGACAAATACAGTACCATATTCCAAAGTAAAACAATATTTAGTATTTTAAATTACATTCTTGTTTTGAATGTGTAATTTAACTTTTTTTCATGAAATAGAAAAAATAATGTACTGGTTTATTCTTGACTAACCTTTGTTAAAATAGACATAAAGACCATTGGTTTTTGTTTATTAATCCTTCGAGCCCTTATTAAAATAATGTAAGCTTATTTGCATTTTTTGTTGTAATATTTGGAAGGGTCACACTATAGAGTGTGACCCTTCTAGTTAATCTTAGTAGATCAACTGATATTTGGGGCCCTCTTAAATATATGAAATAAAGCAATGCTTTATAAATATTAAAAGGCTTAAGAAGTGGAAAGGTTTTTAGTCATGTGAAAAAAAAAACTCAAAATAATGGACTACAGATAAATCTTATCATGAAGTTAAAGCCCTATGTAAATCACAAACAGTACAAGTACACAAGTACATATTTTATGGACAATCTTGTACAGTAATTGAAATCATTACTGACTGCATACTCTCCGTTCTTAGCTGATTGGCCAGTTAAATCACCCTCGAACAGAGGATTAAAATCATACGATAACCTTTAAATCCCACTAGACAGATATATTAGGCTTTTACGGGGCACAGGAAAATAAGCTGTAGTCCAGTATATTGGGTTTACAGGATTAAAGGATACGGTCTAGCGTTATCTATTTAATTAAATGTTTTTGTTCATATAGATGAATAATTCATTAAAAACACTAATAAATAGATGTACTCTGTTTCATCACAATAACACACGTAGGATGGCCGCCAAAGTGGCTATGTAGTAATAATTTTATAGAATTATCGTATCATTATAAAATTCTGAATTATAAAGATTCTGAATTAATATTAACTTTTAATCAGATAATTATTATTTTAATGTTTAGTATTATTGTTATCTGTGTTATACTGTTGATATTATTTTTAATATTCAAATTTATATATATATATATATATATATAAAAACATATATTGCCTTGGTTTGGCTCTGTAACAAGATTGTCCATATTAGAGTAAATAATATAATGAAAAAGGATGAAAAAAGGAACAAAAATTCAACATCCTACAACCACTAAATGGCTTTAAAAACTACTTAAAAGAAACCCTTGTACAGCTATCATATATGTCTAGGCATCAATCAGTTAAGTGCAAAAATGTATCACAACTCAACAGTAAAACATATTATACCAGGTATGCCACAACTTAGACTGTCTTAAAACATTATCTTTAATTTCCTTAACTAGTATATTTGTCGACTTGTCAATTCTGGTGATAAAACTAAATACTGACTTCCTCATGAATTAACCAAATGTTGATAAGCCAGCATTAACAAAAAAAAATTGCTGGCTTTGCAAAACTTAGGTTTCCTAGAAACATTCTGAGACAGTTATTGTAGCAGACATTAAGAGATTCCATTGTCTTTAAATTAAAGTTAGATCGTAGGTTTGAACAATGTTGATACAAAAGCTCCTAAAATGAGTACACTTTACTTGCTTTTGAGCATTACCTAAAACATCTACTCAAAATATTTCTCCTCACACACAAGGATCTACTGTATGTTGTATTATATCATCATTATCTTTTAAATCATCCGTAATAATATGGACAAGATAGGTGAATTGTTTCACATATTCTAAGGGTTTGTTCATTATTATTGTAATAGGATTCCCTTTCAGTATTTTATTTTTGTGACAGGCACACATACATTTTGACTTTTTTGCATTATAAATGATATGCATTTATATGTATATAAAAATCAAGATAGCCGTTAACACTGTTATCAAAGAAAAGTAAATACAGTGTTTGAATAAAGGACATAATAATACATCGTGTAGCAAATCTCTCAACGAATGTTGTCCTATTATTAAATGCATTGTGTAATAAAATTCCTCCGACGGGATTCAAACCTGCGACATCTCACTGTCTAGGCTAGCGTCATATTTATTAGACCACAGAGGCTTCATGGTTGAACAGATTCAAATAACCGTACACAATCACACAATGAGTGTGCGGCTGGAAGTAAATAGTGGCATATAATATAAATCAAGATAGCTGTTAACACAACTAATTTGTCGCCATTGGATCATCAGCTTCTCATGTTTTTTTTTTGTTTTTTTTTTGGCTAAATTACATTATTATTATTATTATTTTGCTATATTTTCCCCTTTTTTTCTGTGATTTGTGATCAATTCTCTCATCTCCCTTCCCCAACTAAATCAAATAAACTATCAATTTGATACTATTATTGCATTCCTAAAGATGAAAAGAATTATCAAATAAGCTTTCAACTTATGTTTTGCTGATTTAATTGTTTTTTGCTACATGTAAATCCTGAAATTTATGATTATTAAGACATGTCCAATACTCTGTACATCAGAGCTTTTGCACATTTCTGACTTTTATTACTTTATGCCTTAAGCCATTATTCCTGTGTGCAGAGTATCAATGCCCATGAGGTTGTTCAATATTTCTGTATACATATTAGAAAGAACACAGGAATTGCATCCCAGCGGACACACTTAAATCACCACAAACACTGCAGAGACTAAAGAAACGATAATTTGCCATTTCACTCATAAATCATAAATAAACGTACTGTAGGATGAATTTAGTATAGTGTAACACATTATGAAGACTCACTATGACACAGTCAGTAAAGAAATGAAATTATCAATACTTTTTGAGTTTACTTGGATAATCGCTTAGAGATTAATTAATCTGTTAGATGTTTATTTGCGTTTTATAAGTCAACTAATTATTATTAATAATATTACTATAGTTGTGCCTAATCTGATTTTTGGTTTTTTTTTAAACAGTCTATATATAACTTGTAATAAATCAAATAATTATAAATGTAACGAATTTAGTGTAGTACAACACCAGGTGAAGCCTCATATCATATTTGAATTATTTTACTTATTTATTTATTTTTTAATATAATTTATTATTTTTTAAGTTTTTTTTTTCATTTTTGTTTTAAATACCTTGCAAGAAATTACTTATTGGTTTCCTTTTTAATTATCAAAATAAAAATGTTTAAATACAAATATTTATCAAGTTAAATATAATACAGTAATGCCTCCTCCCTCCTTTGGGACACCGAATGGGAGTTTACAGTATCTTTTAACCGATAGCCAACCCCTATTTAGGGGACACCCATGGGGGCTGTCTTTTTTATCCTGAAGTTGTCCCCAGGAGCTCTCTTTTTGAATGATCTAATAGAGTTGTTATATACATTGTGGGGTTGGAATTTATTATGGAAGGATCTTCCACACTGATTGCCACAGCAGACAGAATCTCTTTATCATGATTAAAACAATCAATTAATGGTGTAAATATAGAGCCAGCGATGTCTTATAAATTAGGTGGGCTAATTGATGGATGACTGTACTTCACTGTATTAAGACAGAATAATTTCAAGATTATGAATGTAACTGTTCACGTTCTAATAAAATGCTTTTAGGCTATTATATAGTGTGTACACATTTTGACTTTTGACTTGCAACATAATTTTCTTTCAAAATTTTTTTGAAGGAGTCTGGTATGATCAAAATGTTATGTTAATATTCACCCATAAAATGTAATATTAAATGTTATGTAACATTCGCCCATAAGCCCACTGGGCAGGACATCCCAAGGATAAAACTCAAAATCCTATGATTGAGTTAGGAGAGTTAGGGTGTTTTCTATTGTGGGATCCAGTGAGCATCCTTCTGGAAGTTTTAACTATTTTAGCCATATTATTATTTTTTTTTAAAGGATTTTGTTTGCCTCTGCCTAAGGAAAAATGTTCCTTCATACCGCCCCTTCATACCGCCACCTGATTCCAATCATAAGACTCTATTGTGTTATGCAAGTATGAAGCAAATTAAACTACGAAACAGCTGACGAAAACAATGTCAACTAGAACAACTAGAATTGCATATGAAATTACAAACAAGGATAAAATGCTGAAATCCTAATAGCTACAGACAAGGCAATTACACCATAAAAATAATCTTTGCAATTAGGCCGAGATTACTGGTAGAAAGTAAATGATTTGGAAAAAAATTTGAATTTCTAAATTACATGCATAACTGGATATTCTCCCCCAGGGAAATTTTTCACTGATTGTGCTGTTGTATCCAATGACCAGGGTAGAAAAAATAGCACCAAGAAAGGCATAGTAAACACTATATAAATGAAAAATGAATAGATATTAATTCCAACTGTGTTTATACTAAAATTGACTGTAATTTATTTGATCCCAGTATTATGGTAGCTTTATAAAACTTACAGCAGCTGATTGCCAATTTTATGCATTTCTCTTATTTTTGAGGCAGATAGATGCAAACCAATATAGTGTGTTTCTTTTCTTATAAATATTCTTGTATATATATTAAGTAAACCTATGGATCATAAATTTCAGCCATAATTATGCATAATCCTTTTCTCCTGAAGGACAAGAAACAAATTCCTGCTCAGATCATTAATAATAAATTTACTGAAAACGAATCATTGACTTCAGAAATTCAGCCCTTTGATTTTCTACATGGCTGGATCTTGTGCTGTTTTTCTGTGTAAACTGTTGGCTAATGCAAAATTAATTCAAACATCCAAAAAAAGGGTTAGTATGAGCAGAACCTTTGCTTGGTGGTGAAGGTGCTTGCATTGCAATACCAAGCTGTGTGTTTAAATTCAGTATTTTTTTTTTCAGTCACGTTGACTGCAAGACCTGTTTTAAAACAAGTATGCATGTACAAACATACTTTTAAAAAATTCTATCTAGTTATATATCTTCAAAATGGTGTGTCTATTAAATTGGTGGGAAAATATTATGGGACGAGTAAACTCGTCGCCAGCGCCGGGACAGCATTTTTTATTGTCTCTGCCAAGTGCGATTTTTCTCGTCCGCTTTTCGCATGAGTTGGTATATTATGTTCAGAGGGCATCCACAACACAACAAACATACATCCGGTATTTGTACGTTATTGTTTAGGTGCAGTTAACCGAAGTACCAGCTGTTACGTCTGTGATTTTACAATATATATAACAAAGAAGTAATAAACACTAGAATGTTACCCCGATTTTGATGAGTATAGTCGTTCCTGGCGCCCTCAGCAACACCCGGTGGGATGAGTACACTCGTTGCTGGCACCCAACGTGTTAACTCCATTTCCTAAGCCTCATAAAGAGAGAGCATCATGTCATCGTGTATTTGAATTTAATAGTATTTCATGTGTGACTTATATATTACCCAAAACTAACTTTGTTTTCCTACAGTCCATGTTCTTGATAGAATAACATGTAATCAAAATAAATTGCAAATCTTGGGGGCTGCATGCTGAACTGAAATCTGATTTATATTTTTAATAATAAACATTAAAATATACTGTACTGTACTGTAAATTTAAAAAAAACTACTCTTTAAAAAATCAATTATAAAATTTAACTGGTTACTTAGAAGCAAGTAGTTTATAAACTTCTGAAAGAGGAATAAATTGAAACCATGTATTTTTTGCTGATTTACATAGATTTCACTACAAAAATCTTTAAAATTAATTACTACTAGCATATTTAAAGATGTATTGTCCCCTAAGAATGACAAAAATTATGAAGTTATTTCAAAATGAACTTGCTCATTTTTCAGTAACATACAAATTATTAACTTGAGCAAAGAATTTATTGAATTTTAAGAATATGTATCCTGATTTTTATACTGGTCAATAATAAAAATACTTCTAGTGTTTCTTTCACCTTTTGCTTTAAAACTATGGGTAAACATTTTTTAAATGCACTAATTTCCTATCAAGTTGATAATTTTATGTTACTTCAGAATGATCAAGTTCATTTCAAAAATAAGTTTCATACTTTTTGGGGAATTTTTCATCAGGGCAAGATATCTTTAAGGATCTGAAAAGGTTAATAACAGTTTTATTTTTGCATCTTCCAAAAGGTGAAAATAATATTTTCTTGTTTTAATATTTTTATTGTTTGTAGGAATTGCTGTTATTGGCGATTTTAGGTATTGAATGTGTGTTACGGGTTTGGTCAGCTGGTTGTAGGAGTCGTTTTCAAGGAACCTACGGAAGAATTCGCTTTATAAGACAACCACTGTGTATATTAGGTAAGAATGATTATGTTACAGTATCTGAATCTCAATTGCAAAGTATTGGTTATGAAATGTCCGCCGCAGAATTACGAAAAGTTTTAAATTCAAAATGTCTGTTACCTTTACTGTTACATTAATTTTGCATGTTTTGTCTGGGTAAGTTTATTGATAAACTTTTGTTTTCATTTGCCTTTAATATATTTTTCTGATAATAAATATTTGAGAAAAATGTGTGTCCCCATCAGGATTTGAACCCAAGACCTTCTGATTACCATTCAGATACTCCCACTGGGACACATTTTTATCTCAAGGTTTTGCAAAATACACACCAGTGGAGGTGTATCTTCATACCAAAGCTTTCATATATTTTTCTGCAATGTTCCACTTTTCTTCCCAAATAAATTCAATAAATGCACCAGAAATTTGCCAAACAAGAGGTCTGACAGCAGGGTTCGAACGAAGGGGCTGACTATATAAATATCCCTAATGGCTTTAGTATGATCCATATTATGCTTTCAGACTATTATTATTAGGGATTAGCAATAAAAAAATGTTATTTGAATAGGCAAATTATTATTTTTGGTCTGACAACCTCACTCTGGCATCTGACAATGGGGGATCCCAGTCTTACAGATGGGGGTGGTGTCCCCCGTCCCCCGTTCCCCGCTGGCGCTACCACTATTTTGATATATTTATTGCACACTCAACAAAAAAAAACATGCAAAAAGTGACTGGAAACATTACCAGTATATTGATACATGAAAAATCAAGGAAATGCATTAGATTAAATTATCTCTGCATCTTAAAATTCAAGCTTAATAAATTTTCTCATGCATGCTGTATTTGGTGCCTTGTTGGAGCTTGTCACGTCAAAGTCGCGATACAAGATGCTGGTTATTGGTTTATTACCGTATAAAGCCAAGTCATCAACATAATTTGTTATTGAAACACACAGTTTTGATTTACCTACATCATGGTGTTTAATATCTTACAAAATATAGCATGATGAACTATATAGTGTTGTGTTTATAGACTTGAATATATCTGAGCTGTAACTAGGGAGTGTAGATTCCGATCAACAATTTAGGGTCTACAATTTTTATCGTAAATTGATTGCTGGTGTTATAAACTGCACCTAAAATCTTATGATGAAAGTTCAGGTCATGAATGAAATTAAAATTAATTTAGGTCATAATGAGTATGATGAGTTTACAGTATGTTGAAAATTGACAAAATTTCAATTTTGGATTTTATCCATATAATTATCTTCCTCTCGCTAATTTTTTGTGAATTTTGTAGCCAAACACTTCAGGCTTATAACATGATAGAAAAATTGATATATTGTTTTACAGATAATAAATATAATCCGTTTTCCATTACAAAAAGTCTATAGGCTGTAGTGTACCAAAGCCTTTCGATTTTTGTTGATGAACCGGCATATTTATTATTATTATTATTATTATTATATATTATTAAGTAAAATTAATGTAGGAATAAGAAATATTTTTTTGGATCATCCATTTTTTAAACATATGTCTGTAATTGTTTATCAACTTTTCTTTTTTTTTTTCAATTTTCAAATGTCAATATAAAAGTATGATTTATTGCTGGTGTTAACAGACAGTATTTTAGATCTGTGAGTAATGTTGACATATGGACTGCCAACATTTAGATTGGAGATGGCATTATGATGGAACGTGTGATTGATTGATTGATTTTTAACGTATTGTGCATTTTAATGTACAAATGTAATGCATCAAATATTTCATTTCGAATGATCAATAAAAGAAATCTTTAAGCTTTGAATTTATATTATTTTTTTACGATATGGCAGTCACAGAAATATGGAAGAACACTTCACTGGTGTAATAATTCTGCTGACATGACATTAATATTTTTATTAAATATTTATTTCATTATGGTTTTATTATTTAATCCATATTTTTAAAATTTTGATGATTAATATTTTATTTGTGTATTATTAAGTTTTATTTATTTTTGTTAATGTTTTTTTTTTTCTATGGTCAAAACACAGTAAACGATATGGCAGTCACAGAATATTCACTGGTGTAGCAACTTTGCCATTAAATATAGGTTTTAATGTTGTAGTTAATGATATGACATGACTTTGATATTTATATTAAATATTTATTTCATTATGATTTTATTATTTAATCCATATTTTTTAATTCTTTTTTAAAAGTTTCATTTATTGTTGTTACTGTTGTTTTTTGAATTTATAATTTTCTATGGTCAAAACTTGACAAGCAGGAACTTTTTTATATTGGTCTTTTTGTTCAATGTAGGGCGAGTTGAGTGGGTGAGCGGTAAGGCAGGAGCACCGCTAACGACAGCCTTAACACCTCTCCTCTCCCAATGTTTGGTTACTAGAACCAAGTCTTCTTGGATGAGGACTTAAAATGGAGGTCCATTGTACGCATCTGACTCGTGTACACTTTAAAGAACCCATTGCTTCATTCTGGCTGCTAGGTAGTCACCGACCAAGCCTTACGCAATTCATCACGTTGACGCTACAAGTTATCAGTTATTCTCCTACCTTTACCTTTTGTATTATTAAGGTGATCATGTAAATTATATGTTTATCTTTTGTTTTATTTTTTTTCTTAAAATAACAGATATTGTAGTTGTGACATCAACATTTTTGATATTTATCGTTGGGAGTAATGGTTGGGAATTTCGTGCTGATGCATTAAGAGGCCTTCGATTCTTGCAATTTCTGCGGTTAGTAAGATTAGACAGAAGAGGTAACACATGGAAGCTACTTGGAAGTGTTGTCTGGGCACATAGGCAGGTAACATGACAAACATTTAGATGTATGGTAAAAATATTGTTTTTTGATGTATAACTACTGGTGCAGAATAGCAAGTGATTTAAAACAATTTCTTATTTTAATTTAGTCTGTTTATTGCTATAATAAACTTGTCTGTTAAGTTATTGATCTATACATTTTCATTTATATAATTTTAAAATATTGCCCTGAATTGCCCATTAATTTTTTTGTTGAATATTTTATCTAATGGTGCAGAATAATACCTATTTATCATTGAGATATTCTAATGAATACTATTAAAGTTGATTTGATATATTAGTCATTACAGTATTTTTTTCAATTATACAATTTAAGGTTTATTGATATTGACTCAAGATATAGTTATTCCCAACTTGGAACTTCCATTTTATCTCTGAAACATATTATTATTTTTAAAGAGTTTATGAATACATTGACATTCATGGGGATTGTAAATCTTTCCTCTTGTAAATCCTTTCTTGATATACAGTATTGTGCAATCTTTACGACAGAATATGTAAGGGACAGGAAAAAAGGACAAATATTTTTTAATTTTCGCAATAATGCCAGCCAAATGTTTTTGCATTGTCAATGCAAGATTTGGGATTAAAGCGTTATTTTTGTCAGTGTGGGATAAACACTGTTAGTTTCTAACAAGAAAATAATTGCAAATGGATGACATATAAGCTAATTGTATATTAGGAAGATTCTATATAATTGGATGCAAATTGTTATAATTCTGATACTTCAAGATAATCTAGTCTTTTGGGAGTGTCAGAAGTGCTTTGGCTTTAGTGGTTCAGCCTACAAGGATACGCTGGGCATGACTTAGTCGCGTTGACAATTTTGAATCTGAACTTGCCCATGATATTATGTACAAGGTGTTAAACCAGGCAAGGTATCCCAAGGGCTGTGCCCCGGTCGTTTTTCTATCCGTTTCATTAAATACCACAGCGATTCTTGCTGAAACTTCAGACCAAATTATTACCGTTCAAAGCCTTTTTGCAATGTTTCGCTGTTCGTTGTTATAGCTTTTCGTTATCTAATAGCTACAGTCAGTACACACACAGACACATGTAAATTTGTAGCCTAGGCGTAGTGAACTTGTTGAGGTAGTCTTTTTTTTTTTTCAAGGTACAAAAATTAAAATCCTGAAATCTCTTCTAGCTTTAACGTAAGTCATGTATGATATATGTCTAGGATCCGGTATACTTTCAGAGAGAGCTGCACAGAGTTGTCGTCTGCATATTAGAATTGGATAAAGAAAATCATGCGTTTTGAATGGGCAGTATTAAAAAACCTATCATCTGTTCTATAGACAATTTTGATCCGTTGTGGCTGGTTTTCTCAAAGCATGCACACAGTTGTTGTCTGTGTATTGGAATATAATAAAGAAAATTGTACAGTAGATATCTTTGTTTTGGACAGGCAATATTCAAAAACCTGTCACCAGTGTTCTGTAGAAAAATTCGATTTCTGGTGGAATTTTTTTGTTTGATGATGTGGGTGATTATAACAGTAAAGACAGAAGAATCAGTAGCAAACTACTGTATGTGTCTTCTACTTTGGTACTCAGTATAATCCTTCCATCTCTGAGGTAGATGTACTTCAGAACATTTTTCCAAACAGTAACACAATTACCATCAATTATTACTATATATGTATACGTCAATTTTATATCCAGGCATATTCAGAATTCGTACAACATTAAATTACAAATTCGGGAACTGAAGCTGTTTTATTACAGAGTGGTGACCGCAGAGGGGAAACACTAGATATTATTTAGGAGGACTGTTATGTAAGGCAGTGATCTGCTACTATACCTCACATTCTGCACCTTGTACCCCTTGTGTCACTTAGTATTTATGGAGGCTCATGCCATGGAATTTATAATGTTTAGGATAAACCAGTGATAGAACCTCTCAGAATTCACAGCAATCTTGGCAAAGTTAGTGCACAGGGTGACCCAGCAGTCAGCCAGTCTCTCTAGTCTAAGTGTATTATGAGCTTCTGCATAAGTATTGAATGATTTTTTTAAAATGCACCTACACATCACGTTCTTGTATGTGTTCAATTTGTGTTGACTGAGCACAAGTAAGCCCTGGGTGCCAAACGAGTGTAGCATATATAATCACAGGTCTAATATAACATTTATATACTAAAATTGTTAAACTAAAACAAATTTTAAACACCCACAAATTTTAATTAAATAATTTGACTAATAAGGCATGTTTATCAGATTGTAATAAGTTTCAAACTAGTAAATCAGAGTTTAATTAGAGTTATTCTAGTTGTCCTTTAGAACAATTTTCAAGATTCTACACATGCATCAATAAATTTTTATCCTCCCGAACGAAATCCCTCATTGAGCACATTGAATAATCTGCTGGATTGGGAAACAAATGATATGGAAAATCTTTTTATCCGGCATTGTGCAGTGCAAGCA